TTAAAATTGCTACAGGCAGCAAGAGCTTCGCACACAGGCATACAAATACTCGTAAAACATGTAGCAAGGGAGAGTGTGTGCGTGCACACTCGTCGCGAGAGCATTTTCATTATGGGCACCAACGCTTTCATACCCTTCTCGCAAATAGTAACGAAAACGCAAATATTTTGTACGAGCTTGGAAAACGGTTTGAAAATTTCGATATACTCTTCATACAGAAGGGAAGACGTGGGTTCTTCCTGCGTAGAAATTTCAATTTTCATGAGCTCCTGCTTGTGCTCACATGCATACACACATTCAAGAGAGCAAAGAGCATCGAGAGAGAGCAAGGGAAACATTCAGCATAGAGGGATCTTCTGTTCAACCATCGACCATCTCGGTCCAGCGCATGAAGTGAAATGATAGTGCTTTCGTATATTTTTGTAGTCCGACCCTAATAGTAAGGAGCCGAGCAAATACGAAGTTGTGTGTATCGTAATCTCAAAAAAAAAGTGAGCAAAACACTTTACACTACGTGTCCGGTCTATGTGCTCTCTAGTTAGTGGCCAAACGTTGTCTGTATGTGGATTAGATTTGGAAACACCCTATTTTTCTCACGGACAACTATATGTTACACGTTCTCGCATCGGGAAGCCATCCAATTTGCTTGTGTTAGCTAAAGATGACCTAACAAAGAATATTGTGCATTCCATTACGCTGAGAATAATCAGTATTTTTGTTGTCAGTCTTATTAGTTATCAATAAAGCATACTTCGGGTGTATAATATTCCCTATAAATAATGGATATGGCAAAGCAACGGTTGCCGGGTCAGCTAGTGTATGTATATAATTGAATGATATTTCTATTTCTCTTATTATTTTAAATGCATCGAAATTGAAATTTTACCCATACCATTAACAAAACGATGAATGTATAGAAATTAAGGTTTATTTTCAAAGAACGCATATTAATATTGTTTTGAATAAAATACTTGATTAAATATTATTGATCCTAGATATAATCATGTTCGTGATGCGTATAAAGATGAGTTTGCATCTATAGCGTGTATGACATTGAAGTACACAATTCCAACCATTTCCCTTCTTGTACTTATATGCCAAAATGTTCGAAGATCTACAACTCGTTAGTAAAGATCTTCTTCCATAGAGAAATCGGATGTTTCTCCAGCGTAGAGTGAACTGAAAGTAAAACAATATATATAGAAGGAAGCTTTTTTTCTATTCAGTGTGGATCATACTTTACGGCGCGACTAGTAAAGAATACAATGCGCTTCAACTTCTTGTTGTAGAAGAAATAATTAAAAGACCATAAACAGCCAGGTTCTCCAAACGGATCAGAGCTTAAGTCGGGATTATAGCTATATATATCGCATTCCGATAAGTTAATCTCATCATCTACGGCTGACCACAAAGGTTGACGCAAAACCTGGTACTGGTCCCCAGCTAAAGCTGATAAATTTGAATGAACCGAGTTCATAACCCATGGCAAGGAAGGTTCCTTACTAAATTCATGAGACTAAAGAAAAAACGAGTTTACTGTAAAGGTTTATGTTATATTCTTGTATTCAGGTATTTTGACCTTACCTTTGCGTCTGAAAAATCATAATCAGGCTCAAAGGACGCATTTAAAGTTGCAATCAAGTAAAATAAAGTTTTTCGAGAGATTGTGTCACATAAGATTACGCCTTCATCACCCGATTGACTGTTATTGCGATGAAAGTTTGGTGAAAGGTCCGACAAAGTTTGCGGAGGCGACAGCGCTTGCAAATCATGCCCATGCGTCTCAGCTGTAAATCGTTTGTACAATACCTTCTCAGCTGCAACCATTTTGCTTGAAATAAAAAATATATATATTTAAGTATGTTATAAGTTATAACATGAAGGCTCAAGTCGAGTCGTTCGACTAGGATATACCCTGAACCCTTCGAGCAACTGATATTTCAATATAAATTTGCACACACACACACGCATACAAACAAACAAGCACAAACACACTCACGCACATATACTGGCGCTTGGGTTGCACTGCAGTGTTGGCAATATTTTGAGAATTAGTTTGTTGAATAATTTAATTTCTAGACGTACGATCCTAATGAAACTTCCAGAACATTATCATAATGTTCATATGCATGTATATTCCGAAGCACGAGTCTCTAGTAATACATACATACGGACGAACGTAAAGACAGACAGACGGACAGGGCCAAATCGACTCAGCTCGTCACCCTGATCAAGAAT